CCGTATTAAAATTCATCCTAGTGAATCTGTTTGTACTCAAGATCTTGGATGAAGAAATGTCACAAGAACTTAGAAAAAAACACCATGAAGTCAAGATCTTGAAACACCTTGACTTATCTTGCTCAAGATCTTGGCAACAGACATTTCAAAATCTTAAGTGGAGTAAGCCAAGATGTTTCAAGATCTTGGATTCTTGAATCTTTCACTTAAGATCTAGAGTGAATCCACTCAAGCTGTTGCAAGAGTTTGAGTGAAAAATTTTCTTTAAATTTTGTTTTTATTTATGACAGTCATAGCCATCGGACATATGACCATATAGAATCATAGATTCTTCCTTACACAACTATGTTCGAGAAGGAAAACAAGTCATAGTTATTCTAAGTGTGAAAATATTCGCATATATATTTATACAAGAGTGTAAAACAAAACGATGATTCAACATTTTCCAAGATCTTGGTACATGAAGTCAAGAAATTAGAAGATGTTCCAGATCTTGACTTCTTGAAATTTTTTGAATTTTTATATTTTCTTACCAAGATCCGGAATTGAGATTTTACTGAAAAATTCAAGAAGTCAAGATCTTGCTTACAAAATATTTCACTAGGGCAGTCTATCAATAGGTTCGATGGTCTCGTTCACTCTGAACCGTCCCATGTCGCTGACTTACTTCAGGTTTTATCGTATGATTGACTTGATAAAATATTTGTTGTATTTTGGCCGTATCTTCTATTGGATGAACTATTGTCGATGGTAAATAGGTGTCGGTAAGATATGGTATAAAATAGTCATTTTTTAATGTTTCTAAATCTGTTGGTAATTGATTTTTATTTTGTTGTTGTTTTGGATAATGTAAACAATAGAAATAACCGAATGAGACTATCAAATCAAGATCACCGTGTGTAGTTTGCTGATAGTCATTACTACTTATGTTTAATAATAATTCATATATGTTATTGCAAAACAACATTGACTGTTGTTCATGGTTTCTGCGAATCATTACTGGCTGTAATTGTAAACTTAAACGACTTATATTTCTATGTTCGAAAAAATAGGGTTTATTCGATTGTACAAATTTTATAGATGGAGACAATGACGTCATGCCTTCGATAAGAAAACATTGTAACAAATTGTTTGAAGATTGTAATTCTGTATATGACGGTTGAGATGATAAATCCAAGGCGTGGTGGTAATCCTCGGAAACGAGATTAGATGTTTTTATGGTATCGTTCTGAAGTATAAAAAGATGAATTCGAGTAACGCAGAAGACAATTATATTTAGTATGACCATCTTTGTATATCTAACAATTTTTCACAATTTTAGAAAATGTCAAGATCAGTATTTCAACCGTCTCCGTTTCATCAGAAAGCAATTTCAGTCAGTTTGAGTTGATGGTTATATCTACGTATAGTTAGGATAGTTATTTCGATGCTCGATGTATCAGTATTTCTGAACTGTCGCTAAAGGTGACGCTGCTTTTCAAGAATGACAGTGTGAATGTTTTACCACGTACCAGGGCTTCGTATGGTTCGGTCTGGTCACAATTTTTGAGACCAGGACCGCTTCGGACCATTATCGATAAAAAAATTTTGGACCAGGACCAATCCGGACCATAACTTTGTCGGACCAGCACCACTTCGGACCATGAAAATTTTTTCTTGTTTTTGAAGATCCAGTTCTATTGTGTAAAGCAAACCTGTTTAATTTCAATTTTTATGTAAGTAATACCTACATTTTTTACCCAGGATAAAAAAAGTAAGAAATCACCGAACAAGTTCAAACCATTAAATTTTTTAAAAACCGGGACCAAGTCGGACCAAATGGATTATGGTTCGGTCCAACTTGATCCTGGGCCGGACCATGCGCAGCAAAGAGTAAATTAAAAAATTGGGAAGGGTTCTTAAATTTCAAAAAACCATTCCGGCATGTAGAATTCGAATAATATTTTCTACTTTCATTTGGGAACTCTGCAGTTTCTTTGTTTTGGTTTAGCGCATAAAACAGAGCCTAAATCTACTGTCTAGAGTTTTATTATCACATATGGTCAAATTAAGACTTTATTTACCAACATAGCTTAAAGTGTACCAACGTTTTTTCGCAAACCTATTTAGTTGTTAACAGACGGAACAGTCATTTGCACTATTTTCGATTCGTCTTTGCATGGGCATAGAGAGCCATTTTTTAAATTCCTTTCTGTTGTTGAAAGTCTTCATTTTTTCTAAATCAGAGGCGAAAACGTCAGAATTCTGCTCATAATTCTTAACTTTCTCACGTAGAACTCCATTTTTATGCAATAAAAATATTATAGTCAGAATCAAGATAAAAAGGCTCAATTGACTAATGTGTACTTCCATCCTTTCGACTACTTTAGTTTTTGTCGAATATTCATGTTGAAAAATTATCGACATTTTCGTCAAAAAGTGAAAATCGAGTAAAAGTTTTGAAATACACATTAGTCGACTGAGTCTTTTATCCTGATTCCGCCTATAATATTTTTATTGCACAAAAACTGAGTTCTGATTGAGAAAATTAAGAATCACT